TTCTTGGTGAGTCTGAGTGAAGGGTTTAGGCGCTGACCATGAACCACGACGTCTCTGGTTCAAAACGCTGAGTCTGAACTTTGTCGAGGCTCAGAGACGTGGGAGACGCCTCTACATGAAAGAATTTTAAACTCTATTGTTCTTAGATATCTCTGCTTCTTCTGCAGTGGATCTGTGTGTTATTGTTGGACATCATTACATTATAGCAGCTCCATAGAAAACCTCTTACTGTTTGATTCCGACAGACTGACATCAAAATGTAACTTCAACCATTTTTAGAATAAATCAAACAGTTTCTCTAAATAAACTCCAGACTCAGTGTAACATCAGAATATCTACGTCTTTGTCTGAAATTGATGATTACTCCTTACATCGATACCCTGTGTATATTCTGGACTTAGAGATTATACAGCACAGAAAGTAGACTTCTTTTAAAACTCATCACAAACTGGTAAAACTGTAGATGTCTGAAGTTCTATCAGTATGTTATAAAATTCACTGAGTTTTTATTCCTCCCTTGTTCTGTCCGTCCGTCTCGTTCTCGTGGACACGATATCTCAGTAACACCTGGACAGAACTTCTTCAAATTTGGCACAAACATTCACGAGGACTTGAGGATGAACTGATTAGATTTTGATGGTCAAAGGTCAAGTTTGTGATGCGTAACAAAACACTTTTTAGCCATTACTGAAGCCTTCACACAGCAGTTATAACAATGTTCCACGTAAATGGTTCATAGTTTCTGTGACTCTGGATAAACAGAAATGCAATCTGAAACTGGTCTGGGTGGAGGAGGGATACAACCATGACGCGGCCATTCTAGTTTCCTTTGTAATAAATAAATGAAAACGAAGAAAACCTAAATAAAAAAACTAAATAACAGAAATGAGAAATCAACCGCTCTAATGTCATCTGCAAAACACATCTAAACACTAAGTGGATCAAAGACGTGTTCTGAACACTGATGGAGGTTTTATTGGTGGATTCTGGTTTTAATATCCTGCTGGTAACATTAACATATCGGCCATTTAATAAATCCTGACTCTGAGTGAGTCGGAGAAGCGGCCAGACGACAATGAGCGATGAGAGCGACAGAGAGGTTTCTAACATGGATTCAAGTGAGTGAGGGTTAGTGGCTAATTAGTGTGAATTAAAAGGCTTTTTATTATTCAGTGCCATTACGAGAGGATGGATTTCTGATCTAATACCTTATCCTGAACCTCAGGGCCCCTTCAGCATCAGACCATGGTCATTAATTTGGGACACACACACACACAAACACACACAGGCCGATATACACACAACTTTGTCCAAAAACACACAGACATTCAAGCACAGGCATAAAAGGACACAACAGAGAAATACACACTCACACAGACACACAACTGAAGGATATTGGGGTACTAATGTAATTATAAACTCTAAATGTTCCTGTGTTAATGCAGTTTAAACTGCCAGCAGTGGAGATCCATGCTAACTCAATAGTAGGACATCAGACAGGAGACAGTGTGTGTGTGTGTGTGTGTGTGTGTGTGTATTTATGAGTATGTGCGTCAGAGATTTATAAGTTTGTCGATGTGTTTGTGCTGAGGCAAAGGACTTGGATGATCCTGTGTGTGTGTTTGTGTGTGTGTGTGTGTATTTTTATTTATTTTTTTTACATATACATATCTATACTGTCAAGTACCCACGTTTATATATATATATATATATATATATAAACACATACATACACACAAATGCACCCACATTCAAACATATACACACCCATGTACGTATATATGTATACAAAAATGAATAAAATAAAATGTATTATTAATATATATCAATAATAAATAAAAGGCTTTGATATTTCATTTTTAGAATTAAACCTGTTGCTACAGTTTCATGTTTACAACTGAAATCATCTTCTTTAACATGAGCTGCCTGATGTTTCACTGACATTTGTATCAAGTATAATTACTCAACTACTTTTGCTTAATTTGAGGCAGGTTCATATCTACTGTCATCTTAATGTCTCAAATGTGTCGTCATGTCTGAATGAAGCCGTGAGGAACATGAACATCTGTCTGACCAAAACCATCAAGTTAACAGAGAGATAACGTCGGCCATGTTGCATCATCAATGTGTGAAACTTCAGTTAATGTGTGTGTGACTGTCACACGTGTCTATGTTTACATCAGCATCATTAAAAGGTGTGGAGTCCCCCTGTCTGCTGGTACTCTGCAGATGCTCATCCCCATCACTTCTGACTATTCTGTCTGTTTCAGCAGGACACTACAGGGCGGGAAATTACCCCTGTGACAATCAAAATGCTGCTCATTGCCTCCAGGGGCTGTTAACGCTGCCACACTCCCGTGGATGCAACATAAATCTCATGAGATGTGGTGCAGCTTGTAGGAGTTGTGATATCATGACGTAATCTCACACAGTCACTTTGTTTTCATCAGTGAAGCACAACAAGTGTTCTGGTGGTGGTTAGACAAAAAACACACACACACACACACACACACACACACACACACACACACACACACACACACACACACACACACACACACACACGCTGTAGTCTCACTGGGGTTAATTCTTTGCGTATAAAAACAAACACATAAAACACACCCACAGACTGCCAGCACTGATGAACACAGTCCAACTGTTACTGAGACTTTTTCCAAAAGCTTTAATCCATCCAACGCCTACAACTCCCACACTGCAATAAAAAAAAGACTCCAACAGGCTGAAGCTGCACAATCAAATCTCTGAATAAATGTTAATGTTTTCATTGCATGAAGTGGAATCCTGACACGAGTCTGTTGCCCTTCAAATACCCTCCTCACCCTCAGACCGTAGACCAGGGGTCTCCAACCTGTTTTACTCTGAGAAATACTGACAAAACAAAAGGGGCTGAGAGCTCCTCATGTCTGATATTACTGCTCACATTTATTCACATATCGTATCAAAACACTCAAACTGATCTCCATAACCAATCAGATGAATAGGATCATTTATCAAGTCATCAGATATCAATATTCAAAACTCACATTTTGTACCAAAAACATCTGAAACCCTGAGTTGTTCAGTCAGACCTGAACACACAGACATGAAAACACCACTGCAAATAAATGTCTATAAGTCTGATGGTAAACCAGAGAAAACAGAAGCTCGTCGGTCAGTGATCGGAGATAGTTCAGTACATCCAATGGTACAAAACAAACAGGAAGTTGAAAGTGATAATTCAGTTCACTTCATTCTCCAAAATGTAAATAAACATGAGCTTTAAAAAACAAAGTTCAAGTTAAAGCCCACAGCTTCACTCACTTCAGGTTATATCTGTTGTGTTATCAGAGGAGTTGCTATCACTGCATGTCGCCTACAGCTGATCTGATGTAAACAAACCTGACAGTAACTCATTTGACTGACAACTGACACAACTGCATTTACTGAGTGAAGTCGTGTTGCTTAAAGTTTGAACTCTGCGTCCAGGGTTTGATTGGAGACCTCTGCCACTGACTGCTGCTGTTTGACCACTTGTCCAGGTAGTTTATCTGTCCTCCCACTGTGTCCTCTGATGTCTGCACTATAACAAACACATGACAACAGTGCGGCAAAGACACGAGGTGTTGCTGCAGCTGGTCACCTGGCTAACTGTACATTGAGGGATTCTTCATTAACATGTAAAGTTAACGGTTTCTACAAAAGCTGCTTCAGTTTAATTTAAAACCACTCCTCAGCAGAACAGATCTCAGGACACTTTAACTCTATATTTAAGGACCTTCCACTTCTTTGGTCCTTTAGTGACGTCTGTGATTGTCTGTGAGGGTTAGGGTTAGGGTCTGTGTTTTGTTGTACTCAGGTCTCTCTTTTGAAAGAGATCTTCAGTCAAAGAGATTAACACACAGGTTCTTTACAGGTTCTTAGGTTTTTCAATCTTCACATTATGAATTTAAAGTTACTGTATTTACCATTACAAACAGTGAGAGAGTGAAACTTGTACTGAGTTAAACAGTGGTATCAACCACTTCATCAGATGTTTGAAGGCAACTTCCTGACAGTAAATTTAGACATTACTGATTTACAGGTTGACGACCCAAAATGCATCACTCTCTCTGAGAATACCAGAAACTCACAATAACACTGAATGGTGAATCTCGTTGACCGTCAGGCCACTGAAGGAGCGTCGAAGAGACGGAGCTCACGGCCAAACGGAGAAGCAGCAGAGCTCAGGACTCCATGAACATTAATCTACAGATTCTTTTACATTACTTACACATTATTTATTAAAACAGTGAGAACGGAAACACAACTTTGAAAGTCATTAGATGCTGTTGTTCATTTCCTGCCCTTTAGCTCATCTGCAAGAAGATAATGTCTGACACACACTGACACACACACACACACACACACACACACACACACACACACACACACACACACACACACACACACACACACACACACAATGATCCTCCAGTTCCTTGGTGTGTGTGTGATGGTCACACTGCGCCCTCTAGTGGATAAAAAACCAACAGCTGTTTCATGATTTTGATGATTCATGGACTTTTTGTCTCTTTGTTTTTTGAGAAAATAAAAGTGGGAACTAATGAAACACAAAAACATTTAGTGTCAGTGATGATAATGAGGTATGTAGTGCCGCTGTACTACCTCTGTCTCCTCCCACTGTCAGACGTGATGACCTGTGTATGTGTAACACACCTCGACACGTGTGGAAGTGCATTTCTGGATGATTTGTCACCATCATTATCTTCACTATAGAATTCAGGCCTGTGCAATAATGGTCAAAAAATCAACCTCCACTGATTTCAAGCTTGGCCTTGATTCACGATTTCAATTTATTTTTTTCAGCATATAGTGACTTTATGCACAGGACATGCACCACCTGCTGGACTCTCATCATTACCTGTATTTATAAATATCATGTCATCACATTCAAGCTGTAGACTGTCACCAGACTGTAACTATCACAGTTTCCGACTTACTTTTCATGGTCCCGTCCACTTCCTCGTCCTCATCGTCAGAGTTGATCACCATGGTGCCCAGCTGCAACTGCATGGTTCCCGTGTCCTCGTGTTCGATCATAGTCCGTGTCGTACCGCTAGGCGAACCTGCTGAACCAGCAGCCCGGATGGTCCCCGAGTCTCCGGTCCCCGCCCGCACCATTGTCCCGTGGTCGACGTCATCATCGTCCTGAAACACAAGCAGAAAGTGACGTGTTACTTCACCTGGATCACTGAACTGTGACTGTGATTACTACCAACAGAAAATATGATTGTATTTGTTTATGTTATGATGTAGTGCGTAATGTTTTGAGCACTACTGCAGCAGAGGATAAGGAGAGTTCATGTCTGTACCGAGTTGTCATCATCCTCCGCATCCTGCTCTCTCTGCTCCGCCTCCTCTTGTTTCTTCAGTTTGATCTCCATGGCGTCTGTGATCAGGGCTCGGAGGACGGCGCTCTGCTTGGCTGACTTGATAAATGGATGCTGAAGGGACAACAAACATGAGAGAGAGAGAGAGAGAGAGAGAGATTGACTGACTGATGAGAAAAGAAACGTGACAACACATTTTCTATTTTCCTGACCAACATCAATAAACAGTCAGGCACTAAGCCAAAGTCAATGTGCCGTCATATAGAAAATATATAAATATAAATACACAAACACAAATTTAAATGGACATAATAGACGACTGAGACATAACAAATAGTGCAACATGTCAATTGTAATAATAAGTTGCTCAAGTGGTGCAGACACTGAATTACTGCACAAGGTAAAATACGAAAGCAGCAGATAAAAAGTGCTGAATATATTCACTCAGTCTGTCTTTGCTTGTGTTTGTAGAGACTGTTCATGCATGTGTGTGTGTGCAGTGTAACTGTTACTTCATCTACTATCAGTAAAACAGGTTCAGCAGCAGGGTTTATGTAGTTACCTGTAACAGCTTGGTGGCCGTCGCCCTGTTCTCCGGGTTTTTCACCAAACACTGTTTGACAAAGTCTTGAAACGACGACGACCACAGGTTTGGGTTCCGAAACGTGGGAGGAGGGTTGGTCGGAATCATGAAGATGGCCTGGAGGAGGAAATATAAGAATTCATTAACAAACATATGGTTCTTCCTCAACACTTCTTTTTAACCTTTAAACACAAACACTTTCATTCACACACACAGACACTAAACACACTCGCTCACCCTCATAGGGTGAATGTCGGCGTAGGGCGGCTTCCCCTCAGCCATCTCTATAGCTGTTATTCCAAGAGACCAGATGTCGGCCACGCAGTTGTAGCCGATCTCCTGTATGACCTCTGGAGCCATCCAGAACGGCGTGCCGATGACTGTGTTCCTCTTCGCCATCGTGTCCTGAGGAGGAGGAGGAGGAGAGAGAGAATGATGGAGGGGAGGATGAATATTCTTCCTCAGATGTTTTAAAATGAAAACACTGATGAGAGGAAAGAGAACTTCTTTAGGGTCAAAGACGAGAAGTTATTGTGCTGTTAAGATGTGGTCCTGCTTGTAGTTGAGTTGTACCATCAGGTATTAGGTTAAAAAACAGAAAACTTAAATGTACCTGTTTGTTTTTACCAAAAACAAAGACAGGAAGATCTTTTGACTACATTTATCTATATAATGTAAATCTAAAGCCTAAATTACAGGCTGACAAATCCGCTGAAGTATTTTGGCATGAAGCCTTCGTCATGTGTGACAGCAGTAACGTCTCTTTTCACCAGAAACTGCACCTGTCCACCTGCAGGATCTTCCACTCCACAAACTGTACATTTTTATCTATGAACAAATAAACAAAAAAGGAAAACGTGTGTGTGTCTATTTGTCCTGTGACATCAGGCCTAACAGGCTTTTTCACTGCAGATGTTTTGACACGTAACAGCAGGAAATAAAAGGTATAAATAATAAAATGAATGATGTCATAACCTCTCCTTTTCCTACTATGACAGGCCCAAATATCTGCTGTGCAAAAGGTGAATACATCTAAACACACAGATTCTCTTTTCATATTTCTTTCTTACTGTGAGTTGTCCAGCAACTCCAAAGTCGGCCAGCTTGGCCTGACCCTCCGTGTTCAGCAGGATGTTTCCTGCTTTGATGTCTCTGTGGATCTTCCTCATGAAGTGAAGATACTCCAGACCCTTCACAGTCGACTGCAGGATGGAGGCGATCTCTTCTTCTGTCAGCTGCAGGACACACACACAGAGAGAGAGAGAGAGAGAGAGAGAGAGAGAGACAGAGAGACAGAGAGAGACAGAGAGAGACAGAGAGAGAGAGAGACAGAGACAGAGAGAGACAGAGAGACAGAGAGACAGAGAGAGAGAGACAGAGAGAGAGAGACAGAGAGAGAGAGAGAGAGAGAGGGAGAGACAGAGAGACAGAGAGAGAGAGACAGAGAGAGAGACAGAGAGAGAGACAGAGAGAGGGAGGCTTCAGTGTCTTTTCCCCTCTTTATGATACTAAATGAAGACACAAACAGAAACCACTCTGCTCTATATAAACGACTGTGTGTGTGTGTGTGTGTGTGTGTGTGTGTGTGTGTGTGTGTGTGTGTGTGTGTGTGTGTGTGTGTGTGTGTGTGTGTGTCTGAGTGTAACTTTACCGTCTTGTTGCGTATCCTGATGATATCAGACACTGATCCGGCTCCACAATATTCCATGACGATCCACAGGTCACTGTTTTTGAAGTAGCTGCCATAGTACCGCACCACATGAGGACTGAACACAGACGAAACTGTGTCACTTTTTATTCACTTCAGCGAGTTTAAAATTCATTTTGTTGCTGTCATATAACACAACATGATCCTCCATGATGTGTGAGAACTCACTGTCTGAATGGGTTAAAATTGATCTACTTCTTGTGACTGTTACTTCAGAGTTTTTTTGTGCACAAACCTGAAAATAATGAACTCAAAATAAAAACATTACTGTTCTTCCACCGTTGTGATTATAATCATGACTCTGCTCTCAGACAATCAAGCAACTACAAACAAAACTACTCCGGTTTCTGGGCTTTTCCTCCACAACGACATGTTTGCTGAACTAAAGCTCAGGTGCATTTTGCACAAACTTTCCCTCAAAAATTACAGAAAATGTCTGGAGCTACTTTTCTCTTGTGTGTGCTAAACCTGCTGCTAAATGAAGAACAGCTGTTGCAGGGATGTGTGAATCCTAAAATGATTTGCACAGACTGAATCATAAGAGTTTGAGATTTCAATCAGTGTATAATTTGTCGAGGTTGTATAAAGCCTGAGTGTGTTAGAGACATAAACACACTTAAAGAAGCACTAGTGTCCCACAAGTGGGACGGTGTATTTTAAAGTTTAAATACAAACTGTTAAAAGAAAAAGAAGCAGATTCCATGAACAAAAATTCACATGACCCATAAATTATATTTAACACATTCATTTTTTCACTAATTATTTAATATACTTTAAAATCAGCACTAATATAAATGTACCAGCTGATAAACAGTGAAGCTTCTGGCATCACAGACGTAAACACTGTGATCTGTAGCTCAGGGCATCATCACTCACATCGACTCTCAGCATCATGTAAACAAAGTGGTTTTACAGTGAAACTGAAACCTTGAAGCTCTAACTCTCTCTCCTTTATAAAATCGTACAAAGAAAAAACCAAAGCAAATGTTTTCATCACAAACGACAGCGTGATGACTTGGTGTATTTACCATAAAAATAAATTTCCCCTCAAACTTTTTGTGACAACAGCGATCTGGCCTGGAGGAGTGGAGGTTGTTTGTTTATGGGAATCCCCCCAAAAAAACCATGATAACAGCCTGTTTGTGATTCTTGTTTCCACAGAGGCTGAGAGCAACTTCGAGTCACTCTGGACAAAGATTAAAGTAGTGATTGTAAAGCTCCTAAATGCCATTTAACCAAACATATAATTTAAATAAAACAACAAGAGTCCACAGCTCTCTGACAGCGGTCACACTCAGTCCTAAAGTACCTGTTACACTGCTGCATGATGGATATTTCCTTTATGATCTCCTGAAGATCCGACTCCACAGGAACCTGTTTGATGGCTACGATCTCCCCCGTCTCCTTGTAATTGGCTTTAAACACACAGCCGTACGACCTGCAGACACACAGACAGAGGTTCAACATGTTGTGGTCCAGATATCAGTTCACAGTGAAATGTGTCTGTTAAATATCTGAATTCTCTGTTAATTTAAATGATCTCAGATCCTTTCCTCAGTATGGGCTCTCATAAGGGTCAAAAAGATTGTAAGGTGATGTTCACAGATAATTCCTGAGTTTGCAGTTGTAAATCAGCCTTTATAAACCTGGAAAATAAATCAGTGCATGTGAAGAACAGAGGCTGTATTATCTGTCAGATGTTAATTACAGCTAATTACACTGTTTTAGCACAAATACTTCTTATTTCACAGATTCCTCTGCCCAACTAAAACTACTGTATCTTAAACTCATATCTTTACATATTTCTTCACATATTTCCATAGTTTTATTATATTCTAATATATATTATAGTATAAGGACATATTTTATATTTTATGTGTATTTTTATCTTTATCTTTATAATATATATCTCCAGTATTATGGCTGAACGATATGCAAAAACAATCATATTGCGACTGCGAAATGAGTCACGATTTTAGCTGGAAAGGCCGTGGTCCCAAAGAAACATTAAAGATGATGATGATGTGATTTTTGTTGGTCTTGAACCAAACAAACATGTTCCTTTACATGTGGAGAATATGATTTGTAGAACTAAAAAGCTTATTCCTCATCTGTTGTGACACATTTTACCTTCATCAAAAAAACTGCAGCTATATTTATTTGGATATTGCACTTGGCTTTAATGCAGTTGTGCAGCCCTAACCAGTAAACTGTAAAATATTTGTTCTGGAAATTACTTCTTAAAAAGTGCAGGTTGTACGTTCAGTAACAGCAGATATTGGTTTTGAATGGAGCAGGAGTTGTCAGACCAGCAGGTTTCTTAAACTCTGTTCACAGTCGGTCGGTTAGAGAGAGTTGACCTCAAAGGTCTTTGTTAGTCCAGTTTAACCTGTAGGACTTTCTGAGGCTTGTGTAACACGTTTTAGAGGAAATAAATTCCTGATGAGTAAAATAAATGATGTCTTCACTGCAGAAACAGAATCACTGGTGTCACACAGAGTCATGATGAGGAGCCCAAAGAGGGGAACAGAAAGTCTAACAGGAGAGAGTGTGAGGATGTGACTGATGGACAAGATGCACAAACTTAAGACGAAGACAAACCCTCATTTTATCAGGCCAAAACCAAAACCCTTCATCCTAATGAAAATAAATAAAAAGATTTCATTCAAAACCAAAGGCCAACATTGACAACACTGCAGTCTTCAGTCATGCTTGTGTTTTGTTATGCCAGGATTTCTACGCATGAGCAACTAGAGGCTCGTCAGCCGTCAACATCTGTTGCCGTCGGTGTCCTGAAGCTGCTCTGGATTATTCTCTCATCATCGTCTCACACCTTGACTTTAGTCTTTTTCAAACATCTAAAAATGCTGAAGAGCTCAAAGAGAGAGAGAGATTGTGTTATACTGCAGACACACACACACACACACACACACGCACATGCACACACACGCACATGCACACACACACAGTCGCGTCAATCAGGCGCTGAGAACAGGAAGTGTGTTGAGACACAGGAAATGAAGAGGCAGTGTTTATGTTGATGGGCACCGGAGGAGGGGGAGGAGCTTCATGCTGACAAACAGGAGGAAGACAGATCGACAGAGATAGACAGAGGGACAGAGGACGAGGTGTGATCTCATCTGTCAGGACTGTGTGACGCTGCTGTGACTCACCCTTCACCCAGCTTCTCCAGGATGTCAAACACTTCCTCCGGCTGCTTGGTGAGACTGTCCTCGCTCAGCTTCTTCAGCTGTCTGTAACCACGGAGACAGGAGACGTTAGGGAGATGGACGGACAAGAAAAAAAAGTTCAACTGAAACTTCTTCATGTCAACACAGTTCTTCAGGGTTCGGCTGCAGCTAATGATTATTTTCATTATTGATTAATCTGCCAATAATTTCCTCGATTAATGCAGAAGTCGTTTGGTCGACCCAGAGTTAAAGGTGACGTCTTCAAATGTCTTGTTTTATCTGATCAACAGCATAAACCCAAAAAGAATCAGTTTATACTCATAAAACAAGAAAACGTGGAAAGCAGCAAATCTCCCCAATTTCCTGTCAAACCATCAATTAGCTGAAACAACTGATCGATTAATTAACAAACTGCGTCAGCTCGGTCTCTCTCTCATTTTCACCTTTCCCTATGACTGATACTGTTTGTTTGTTTTTTTAATCCTGTTTTCTCCCAACAGATTTTCTAGCATTTCATAAAACCGTTAAATTAACATCTAAAAGTTCAACTATTGATTTGTTGATTAATATTTGCTCTGCTCTTTTTTCTATTTTCAGCAATTTAGAGAAAAAAAATAAAATTTAAAAATTTAAAACAACAAACAAACAAACAAAAAAGCTTTAAACCTCAGAAAGCCAATGTTTTAGGCTTTAATAATGAATCAGTATCAGTAACAGTTCTGAGTTGCAGTTAACAGGCAGTAGTTTGTTTTGGGTGTAACCGTCCACCTCTGCTCTGCTGCTGAAAAACCTCCCCAGATGTTTGATAAAGGCAGAAGACAAAAATAGTCTCCAACAAAAATAGATTCAGACGTGTCCTACATGCAGCCGACGAGCCGTTCTCAGGATGATTACAGGAAGACGAGAGGAGGAAATGTCAAATTAAACCAGTTTTTAATCAAAGACACAAACTGCTGCTCCGCTCACATCTGTGGTGTCACCCGTCTGATTCCTGCTCAGACGCCTGGATGCTTTCATACAGCATTTAATCTAACCGAGGAGTGTGTGAAAGAAGCTGATGTGATGGTCAACGTTTCTCACACACACAATTATTTATTTACATATTTGTTTTGGGGCATTTTTGCCTTTTTACTGACAGTAAGTGGTAGAGAGAGAGAGAGAGAGAGAGACACTGAACAATGGTCTCTAATAAGATCAATCCTTGTGAAATCATTTTAGAAAACTAACTCCCTAATTTAAGTTTTCTCATTAATGCCGTTTGCTGTTTTGCAGTCGATGAACCACAGTTACATCTCAAGATAATACACAGTGTGGTCTCACATCTCAACACTGATATTATATCATTATCTCACACCTCTATTTTGAAAGACGTACTAAGATGTACTAACTAGAAATTGAAAATCATATGTACCAGCAGGTCTCAGGAGGATGCACATGAAGGTTAAAGTTTACATGAGAGCAGCTCTGTGAATGGTCTTCACACTGGAGCTAGTGGCATTACACCAGGGTGGGGCAGGTCATCCCGCGGCAAATAAACTATGATTAATTTACTGTTGAGTAATAAGAGGAAAAGGGCTGAAAACAGCAGACTGACGTCATGTAGTTATGAACAAATATGAGGAATATTTTGTGCTTCTCTATTTCTGCTGTAATTTTGAAAATGCATATTAATTTGTCTGAAGAAATAAAACTTAAATTACAAAAAGAAGACAGGGCTCAAGCTACATCTTGATAATGTAAGCTCTGAACGACAACGTCATCAAACTGCAGCCAATCCTCTCGTCTGTCTGTTGATAACAGATCTGATCTGCATCTGTGGCTTTCCTCGAACCCTCTGAGCCACATTTCATTCTCCGCCCTGCGCTGCCATGCGCCCAGCTGATCCCAGAGTATCGACTTCAAGCCACAAACCACACAAGTCACCGCGCTGAGCGTTCAAATGCTAATCTACCATAGCAGCCCATAATCTGCGTTCCCACTGGACTCTGTGAACCTCTAAAATGCACTTTTATCTGCAGTGGCTCAAAGTTCTGAACACACCAAATATTTACATTTCTAAATTTAAAATGTCCCTCGTTTGTCCTCAGCTCTTTTCCTTATTTTTCTAGTGCTTCTATTTTTGATAGAAACAGTCTCAGTGCTACGGATCTGACTCCTACACTCAGAAACAACAGCTGCTCATAATGTCGTTCTTCTGGGACAAGTGAACCAGAAACACACTTACTTACTTTAATATTATAAATAAAGACAAAAGTTCCTCTGGATCTTCTGGATTCGAGTCAAAACACGTTCAAGGTTTTAATTTAGTGGTTTAATTGATTAAACTGGTTTAAATTTAATTAAAAGTAGTTAAATACCTTTCCAGTTTAACACCTTTATTTTAGGAAAGTTGAGCAAAAGAACATTACAGGACACTGGCTGCTTCCTTCTGTCTTTATCCTCAAGATTTTATTTGAAATGGTCAAAAAGTAAAAGTAAATTATTAGTTATTAAATAAATAAGCTAAATATGGATGTTGTGATTACAGATACTCGATGCTGATTACCTGACATGATCATGATATATGATATTTTTCATCTTTTCTTTGCAGTGTTGCAGTCCACCTCGCTACCTGGCTGGACTGTATGGAGATATTACATTTTGGGTATCGCTCAGGCCGACCTGCTGGTGCTGAACAAACGGTCAAACAGAATTAAAGGGATGAAACATGAGTGAAGGTTTCTCTGGAGGACAGACTGTGAATGTGATGAGACTCATTCTTGTCTCAGCACTAAGTGAGAGTCTTACACCAGCCTGATGAGGAAGCAGTGGATGACTGAGGGAACGTGATAACAAACCAGCCGAATGTTTTACCAGCATCCTCCTGATAACTGGACAGAAAAAGGAACCACTCAGTTCCTACTGTCAAACACAATAAAGTGAGCTGTCAAACCAGTTTCTAAATTAAACAATAAACAGAAAGTGCATCTCTCACCGTGTCCATGTGAAACATTACAACGAAGAGCTACATCATGTGTTCCTAGTTTTCTTATGTTGAGCGTCACTGTTCTGACACTCATACACTGATTTCTCTCAGTGTTGTGGAGTTTCCTACCGACTATGAATAATGATCCAATAATTATCCCCTCCCCCTGAAACAAAGACTAGCATCGTTATCATCATAAAACATTTATACATGTATATGAAATAAAACATTAACCTTCAAAGAAAAGGCTGTGTGTTTAATGAGTGTGACTTCAGGCTGTTTCTAACCCATGAGATGAGATGAGTCAGGATCTGTGGCGCTCACCACTTCAGCTAAACGACTTCCTGGGGGAAGCTCCGCAACTCTTTTCATTATTAATTAACAAACAAAATCTCGTTTTTGATTAATTGATCGGCCACTTCTTCTATAAAATGCAAATCCTCACATTTAAGAAGCTGGAACCAGAGAATATTTAGCTTTAAAAATGACTAAAATTATTCATACATTATGGAAACAGTGGCCAATTAATTTTCTGCCAAAAGATGAATTAATTAATCGACTAATTGCTTCAGATCATTATAGGATTACTGGTGGAAGTACTAATGAACTATCAGTGGTAGAAAGTAATTGTACTTAACTTTTCACTTCTACTTCACTACATTTCTCTAACAGCTGTTTAGTTACTATTTTTTCTAGATAAAAATTTTACAAAAAATAGTGATGATGAATTAATATAACAACACTTTGAAAAGGAGTTACCATTACACACAACAACAAACTGTACTTTTGATACTTGAACTACATTTTGCTGATAACACTTTTACTTTGGTTAAAACTTGTCAGGCTGCAACTAACAATTGATTTTATTATCAATTAATCTGCTGATGATTTGTTGTTTAGTCTATAAAGTGTTGGAGAAAAAGACCCAATCAACAGTCCAAAACCCCAAAATATATAAAACAGAGAAAAACTGAAAACCTTTACATTGGAGGATCAGGAACTTTTCAAATGTCTGGCTTTATAAATAATTAATTGATTAATTGCTTCAGCTCTAAAGTCTCTAATATATTTTTTATATTAGTAATAATTTATTTAATTATAATTTTACACTGTGGTGCTGCTACGTTTACTTCAGTGAAATATATGGGTAGTTGGAATCAACACATTCAGGATTATTCTGTAGTTTTACTCCTGTCTTGCACTGAACTTCTCCAAATTTGAATCCGGCTTTTTGCTGAGCTGACGTCTGGGAGCAGTGGTGCACTGACACCAACAGACTGACACACACAGTGCAGGGATGACAAAAGTTATTATAATATTATTATATTAGAATTATTATTAGAATTATTATACAGTTTTAAGGTGCAAAGTTTATGCAAATAAAAGATATTGTTGATTTTTGAAGTGAAGAGAAGTAAATACAGCCCCGCAGCAAACACACATGAAAATGAACGTCCTGCAAACGTTAATACACCATTACTTTTTTTATCATTAACTTAAAAACTAGAAAAAAAGCAGCTTGCAAACAGTTTCTGGAGCAGCTCAAAGCCTTTCTGTTCTTGACTGGTGGATTTTCAGCCTCTTCCTGCAGATCCCCTCAGGTTCTTATATATTTTAGGTCTTTAGGAACTTCCCACAGAGTGTCAGTGGTGTTGAGCTCAGGGGACTGTGGGGGCCGTCCCCGAGGCGTCAGCGTGTATTTCTTGAAGTGGTTCATGGGGGATTCTGAAGTCTGCTTTGAATCATTGTCCTGACAGAAACCAGACTCTTTTCACTTTCATTTTTTGACTGACTGCTCTCAAAGAACCCCAAAGAAGAATATTCCCACCCAAAACATGCCACAACTACTGTTTAATTATTTTCAATTTTTTAAGTTGTGTGCATTAAAATTTGAAGAAAGACTCATTTTAATGTCCATCTGCTTCAGGGGATCTATTTACTTATTTTCACTTCAAAAATCAAAATAAGAAGTAGTTTGACCAGCAGTGGCTAAACTTTTATAACTCTACGCTACATCTGAAAACAAAGTTAGCATTTCCGTTTTATCAAGCAAGTTATCACTCTTTGCAGTGACCTAATTTTTTCTTCCACAAAGCCAGTATGAACCCACCTGACGAACCAGCTCCTCTGTCAAAACCACACCACACAACCACTTTCAACCCAACACACACACCTCACCAACATGAGTGCGCCCGTATCTGCTCTGAGCTGACGTACTTACAGCAGCTGAGCCACGATCAACAAACACAGTTAAGGCACTAAATTGGATCAGCAGAGCTTTGATAGTGACAAACACCAGGGATTAGACAAAACAGATCAACACAACAGTCACTGAGCTAATTCAATAAGAGGTGGAGATTTATAACATATTTTAGATGCTTCTATTTATTTCAGTCCAAGAAACGAACAAGAAGCACAGATGTTAAGTAGTTTTACTATAACACAGGGCTGCAACTAATGATTATTTTCATTACTGATTATTTTGTAGAAGTAAATAGTAAAAAAAAAATTTCTATAACTTCCCACAATACAAGTTGACATCTTCAAACCTCAAACTGACATCTGTCATCAGCAAATTTTTGGCACTTTTGCTTAAAAAAATAAATGATCTGTCCACTGACTAATCGAGTAATCAACTAAATGTTGCAGATCTACAACAATGTCATTGGTTATGTTTTTATACAGTAGAGGAGCTGTAGTTATTACTACATACATTTAGTACATGTACATTACGTATAAGTGGATTACAGTCTTAATGTGTTTACATAGTGATTGTAGTGATAAATATGGAGATTTAGAAGAAAATGTTACAAAAAGTTTAAATGACATTTTTACTTTAACAATCAAAATGTCCTTACTGTACTTTGGTAATTTGATGTGGGTGTCTCTAATTAATAATTTGTGGTGATAAGATGTTGTATTTGAGGATTTCACTGTAAAGTTTTATGTTATATTTTCTTGTGTTTTGTCTTTTAACATTTTGGCACCATATTGGAACTAAGTGTTTCTATTACATGTTTCTATACTATATTATAACATTCATGATGGAGGATTCAGCATTAGTTATATTACCAAATACATTAATAAATGCTGACATATTCTTATATATACATTATATAAACATTTATTAAATGTTAAATTTTGATCACAAATGATAAACAGGTGGATTGAAGGTGAAGTGTTAATATGTCAGTATAAATCCGTGACCCTGGTCCATAAAATAGTCCTCACCTGGCTCCTGTAGCCCCCTCTCGTTTTACATTAACGGTTTAACATCAACGGTTTAACGTCACATACAAACGGTTTGCTATGAGACTCGGTTGTGTAATGTCTCTAACTCTCTGACTCTGACCGCGTATCTGTGTCTTTTTCGGGCTTGTTTTGAGCCCAGCAGCAGCAGCAGCTAACTTCAAGCCACACACATAAAGTCAATGAGGATGTCACGCATCTCAAACCGTCTGTTTTCACTCTGAGCTAACGTTACCTTCGCGGGTGATTCCTCATCTGGACTTTGTCCTTGTTCTCCATGCTGTCCTCCCGTGTGTTCGCCGCCTCCTTTTCAGTCGCCTGTGGTCAAACTTGACCGAGTTTGTCAACGATTCAAACCGACGGTTGACGCCGTCTGCTAACGCTAGCAGCAGCTAGCAGCAGTTAGCCCGTTCAGTCAGTGCGGCGAAAAAAACAGCTCGTCTGTTCATCATTCAGTGAAACGAGGCTCGAGCAGCGAACAAACTTCACCCAGCTGCCGTGTCCTCGCCGCCGGGTTCATCCTGGACAACTTTAGACTTGTTTGACAAACCGCTCGGCAAAACGCCGTGACATCCAGTTGAAGAAACCAGGAAGAGTGAGTGGAGGAAGGCGGTGCAGACAAAGGCTGCAGTACAGGAGAGCGTCGGGAGGGGGCGCCACATTCACTGTCCTGCTGTCATACTGAATATTAACAAGCGCAATAACAGTAAATATAAGACTTTAGTTTCATTTAATCTATATACAACAATAATGCCTAAAGTTATTGTCCTGAGATTCTGCTCCATCTTCACTATTTTGTCTTCATTTTTATTAGATTTTTAATATCCTACCTTTTATTTCTGGTTTGAGTCACTTTAATACGTCCTCTGCTTTAGTATTTTATTATTTTATCTTTGTCGCTCACTTTAGTGTTTCCTCAGTGCAAATTTATGAGATTCATCATATCGTTTCCTCAATTCCTGTTTTATTATTCTTCTTTGTTATTTCTATTTATTACTTGGTCATTTGTTATTCTGTGTAAATATATATGTGTGTGTGTGTGTGTGGGGGGGGGTTATTGCTATTATTCTATAAAGCACTTTGTTACATTGTTTATATAAAAAGTGCTATACAAATAGTCTGATCGATTCATGAGTGCATCTCATCCTTTTTCCAGATTATTTGGAAAATTAAATCTACTTCTGTAAAAATCAACAAGTAGATTATATAATAGTTTCCTTTCATGAGCACAAAACAAAGACAAAAGGAGTTTTACATTAATAGAATATTTTATTAGAGGAACAAAACAGCATAGCGAAGTTCACATCTAATCAGTAAATAACATCCAAGTGGGCAAGAAGGAACTTCATCCTCAGACCTGGAACGAATGATGGGAGAGAAGAGCTGGAAGAAGAAAAAAAAAAAATTAGTTGTTTTTAATATTTTCATTGAACTGTGTATTAATCAAGTTTTTCACAAACCCAGATTCTGTATTTTTAAAATGGCACCTGTTCCTGAAGAAACCATGTTATTTTTTTTATAGCCTTGAACTTCACATTGATCCATTGATCTGAAAAGACTCACAGAGCGTTTACTCCCCAGAGGGCCGCACACTCTCGAAGATGCCGGCTTCCCTCATGGCGTTGAACTCTTTGACAGAGTCGTACGTTTTGTAGAACTCAGCGTAGGCCCGTTTCCTGGGCTCTGTCACTGTGTACTGTGAAGATCAAAACAAAAAAACATCTGTTTGTTCACAACTTCAATCAAACCATAAAGAGAGAGAGATGACTGACAGGATAGAATTAAGGAAAATGTTAGAATTAAGTTTTAATTTTTCATGTTTCAAATAGAGGAACTGAACAGATGTGAGTGTTGTGAGTGATGTGAGGTGAAAACGTAGCAAAGAAGATGAGTTTTATAAAGAAAACATAGTAGTATGGACGTAGCCTCAGCTCTAAACACACATGAAGCTGCAGTGTGTGGTAGTGGCTGTGCTGTCTCTATTGTGTTACTTATATTGTGTCGCAAAGATTAAAACATCTTTCTATATATTCAACGTAAAACCAGATAAATCAGATGCTGATACTAACTGCTCACACAGAAGCAAATCCATCATCAACTCTATTAAGTGTTACTTTTTTTAACCCAACAGTGTGATCTGATTTAAGGGCGTAGCCTCATGTGAGTGTGTCGTTCCCCTCACCTTGAATGCAATGGCAGCCCCCAGAGACAGAGCGAAAGCGATGGGCAGGTGAAACCTCAGACGCTTGGCCAGCATCCCCCTCATCACAGGCTTTGGCAGAGACATGATGGATCACCTGCAGGAGATGAAGACATAAATCAATCTATGACGTCAGCATTTGAATCCCTACGACATAACTGCACCAAATAATAACAGTGAGGAGCGACTGTACAGTGAGACAGCACTTTTTTTGATCAGTCTCCTGCTCTACGTCATGTGAAATATACAGTCTCTCTCTCATCAGCTGTTTTCAAATAAATGCTGTCAAGATGTTATCACATGGAGTTACTCCTTGTAATTTTCAGTTTTGCAGAGTGCAGCTAACAGAGGTGAAGAGTTGTGAATGAGCCGAGGTCAAACTCTAAACACAGAGGTCATTATTAGTTCAAGTTTTACATCAGTCTGTTTGATCCTGTGTCATGTCATTTATCACAAAAATGTGCCCTTTGTTATAAAATGGGGCTAAAACTAATGATTATCTTCATCATTGATTACTATGTTGATTATAATCTGAATTAGTCAACAATGGTTTAGTCTATCAAACAAAAGAAAACAGTGAAATACCAATATTAATATATTAGAGCCTTCTAATGTTTCATTTTGTCCGACCACCAACACAAAAATATTCAGTCCATTACAATATAAGAGAAAAGCAGCAACATCTCACAACTGAGAATCTGGAAGCACCAAATGTTTGGTGTTTTTGCATTTACAAAAGAAATCATAATTTTGGAGAAAAGACTTGGAGATTCATTTTCTTCTATCAGCAAATATATAAAACAGGGACATGAGATTATTGTCTGATGAGAATTCTGAAACAAACTGTGTCTGCAGTTGTTTTTCAGTGACTATAATTGAAATGGGAGGTTATGAATCCTTGAGTTTGGCAAAACTGAGGTAGAAATGTTCTAAATTCTGACACATGAATCTATAAAACATCAGTTAACATAGCAGGGGTGATCGTGATAGAGAAATTAGCTCATAATACGTGTTATGTGTTTTGCGATGGTTTCCAATAGTCATTTTATCTAAATTGACTATCACCAGATTATGGAGGGGTTACTTCATTAAAAAATAGCTGATATTGGATTTTCTTTGTGACACTTTCAGTCAAACATGTTGGTTTATAAAGCAGTGACATTACTGATCCATTATGACCCGGCCAGACTCTTACTCTGTTGCAGAGTCAAAACTAAACATGGAGAAGCAGCAGAAAACCTGAGGTCGATTCCACCTTTTCTTTTTGCTTTTTCTGTTAGCTGCTGCATTTATTAATATCCTGCACTGTAGCTGCACTGTCATTTTTATTCTCCCTTTAACTCATATGTCTTCATGTTTTTTTTTTCCACAAACAATTTAAAGGTTTCACAGACCTGACAGTGGGTTTTAAACAGCTTTAAATCTTTAAATTCAGTTTCTGAGGAGCAAAAACCGAATCACTATTGTAAATGCTGAATCAGAGTCTGAGTTATTTGGAGGTCACTACATTAAATCAGTCTAACAGATGGACTGTTGTGTTTAATCCCGGAGAAAATGTCAGTGTGTTTTTGTATGTTATCTGTATTAGTAAAAATGATCTCTGTCTGTGTTCACGTGTTATACATTGACATGAAATATTAACGAGGCCGACAGAACTAATTTAGTTCCTTAATGCTGGTCAGAACTGCTTCTGTATCAACACATTAATAAGGACCTTCAGCAAAGTGCCACTAAATATACATTTAAGTTTAATATTAACAGAAAGTAAAATATGTTCTACGCCAGCAGCTGCGTTGCAGGGTCGTTAGCATAAAGTCACAATAGGGACACGACGTTTAAGTCCTCATCTGTTCGTATTATCATAGTATTACTCATTAATGACATAAGGGGCGAAAAGTATAAATGTAACCTGAATATTTAACGTTAAAGTTTGACTAATCGTTAATACGCAATGTCGGATAACGGCAGCATGAGCTACCGTCAGCTAGCT